GCCACTGTGGTTTTCAAACACGGGGACAGTTTTCTTAAACATGTTGATGGAACAAAATTCCCTATATATGAACACGAGAGACTGTTCTTTATAAACACTGTGCAAGAGTTTGAAGAGAAATGTAATGGATGTTTTGATATGCAAACGTGGCATGAAATTCTAGGACACTGTAATTATGAGGATGTTCAAAATTTGCAAAATGTCGTCGATGGAATGGACATTAAGGGTAAAATCAACAAAAATATGCAATGTGAAGCCTGTATACAAGGGAAGTTTATCCAAACTAGGAATCGAGAACCAGATGAAAAGGCCAGGGCAGCATTAGAGTTGGTACATACGGATTTAGCTGGTCCGATTACGCCAAACTCTAAAGAAGGGTTTAAGTATGTTCTGTCGTTTGTTGATGATTATTCAGGTGCAACATTTGTATATAATCCGAAACACAAAAGTGATACAACTCAAGCAACTGAAAGATTTATTGCAGAGGTGGCGTCATATGGGAAAATCAAGTGCATTCGTTCTGATAATGGAACTGAATTTACAAGCAGACAGTTCAGAGATTTATTAAGTAGACACGGCATTAGGCAGGAAACTTCGGCGCCATATTCGCCTCATCAAAACGGAACAGCAGAGAGGAACTGGCGTACACTTTTCGACATGGCGAGATGCATGTTAGTTGAGAGCGAATTGCCAAAGTCTTTATGGCCATATGCAGTACAAACCGCGGGAGTGATTCGGAACCGATGTTTTAACAAACGTACAGGTCAGACAGCGTATAAGATGTTAACTGGAAAAAGACCTGATCTTTCTAGAATGAAAAAATTTGGATCATTGTGCTATGCTTGTAAACAAAATAGGGGAAAGCTGGATCCAAGATGTGACAAAGGTGTTTTCTTGGGATATGACAAAAATAGTCCAGCATATTTGATCTATTTCCCAAAGGCCGGGAAGGTTGAGAAGCACAGATTGATAAAAATACTAAATCCTGCGACAATGGATCAACAAACACAGAGTGATCAGATGTATGAAGATGAGGTTTATGAATCCAGAAAAGATGGTGAACCCAAACAGACGAAGGATGAGGATATTCCAGATGGTAGTGAAAGCAGTCAAACTGAGTCCGAGGTTAAAACTGATGATAAAGTAGATGCTGGAGCTACACGTTATCCATCCAGAATCAGAAAGAGACCTGATTATTTGAGTGACTATATCACGGATGTGAAAGAGTGTGAAAATGAACAGATGCAAACTAGTGTCGATTATTGCTACAGATTGTTGTGTGAAATACCCACATCATTTAGTGAAGCTATTGTGTCAAGTGAGTCAAAAGAATGGGAAAGGGCGAGGAATGAAGAAATTCAATCCCTTAAGGAGAATGACACATTTACTTTAACCACTTTACCAGAGGGAAAGAAAGCAGTGGGGGGTAAATGGGTCTATGCCGTTAAAAAGAACTCAGACGGATCAGACAGATATAAAGCTCGATTTGTGGCTAAAGGGTTTAGTCAAACAAAAGGAGTTGATTATGAGGAGACTTTTTCACCGACTGCTAACTTATCGAGTGTGAGAGTTTTGATGCAGAAAGTGATTCAAGATGATATGTTGGTTCACCAGATGGATGTCAAAACCGCCTATCTACACGCACCAATAAATGAAGAAATATATATACAACAACCAGAAGGTTTGAGACAGAATCAAGTGAGACTAATAAACTGGTGTACAGACTAAAGAAATCACTTTATGGGCTGAAGCAATCAGGTCGTAACTGGAACCAAACCTTACATGACTATTTAAGCAGTTGTGGATTTAGACAAAATATTGCTGATCATTGCGTGTATTCAAAAGAGACTGAAAGTGAAAAGGTAATCATCATAGTGTGGGTGGATGATTTACTCATTGCAGCTACTAATGAAAATGTGCTTTCAGGCGTGAAAGAAATGCTCTCTTCTAAATTCCAAATGAAAGATCTGGGGAAGCTTAACCATTTCCTAGGAATAGATTTTCTTCAAGAAAAAGAATGTGTCAAAATGTCACAGAAAATATATATTGAGAACATTTTAGAGAGATTTAACATGCAAAACTGTAAGCCAAGGTTAACACCCTGTGAACAGAAATGGACTCATTCTGATAAATCCGAGACATTACCAGATGTGAGGAGATATCGTGAAGCGGTAGGATGTCTTATTTATCTGAGCTATTGTACGCGACCTGATTTAAGCTATGTTGTCAGCAAACTGTCACAACATTTCAATGCGCCAACTGTTGATGATTGGACAGCAGTGAAACATGTTTTGAGGTATTTAAAAGGTAGTCGAGGAAAAGAACTGTGTTTTAGGAAATGTTCAAGTGGAAAACTAGGTCTACAAGCATACAGTGATGCAGACTGGGCATCCGATGTTTCTGATAGACGCAGTATGACAGGTTATTGTGTAAGCCTAAATGAAAATGGTCCTTTGATATCATGGAAAACCAAAAAGCAGACAACTACAGCACTATCAACTTGTGAAGCCGAATACATGGCATTAGCAGCGACAATTCAGGAATGTATGTATTTGACTTATTTGATTCAAGATCTTGAGGAGTTTAAGTATGAAACACCTATGATATTGGAGGACAATCAGGGAACAATCGCTTTGTCAAAAAGTCCAGTGAACAGACAAAGATGTAAACACAGCTGATCATTTTATAAGGTCAGCTGTACATGAAAGGAAAGTGCTCATTGATTACTGTCCAACTAAGTCAATGGTAGCAGATATGATGACGAAACCAGTTTCAAAGTCTAAGTTAGAAAAATTCTCTGTATTTGTGTTTGGAATGTAAGATGTTTTTTTTCGGAGGATTGTTCTTCCCAACCTGTGTACAAGTGGGGGTGTTGGATTGTGTGTCCACAGGTGTTTGTACTTTGCATCGTAATAAAATGACGGTAAAAGGCCCCGCCCATATCCTATCCATGTCTTACCATGCAACGCCTCTGTGAGTGGACTGGAGAAGGGTTGTGGTAGAGTCCTCCGTCAGGAATGAGATATGTGTGTCAACCTTTTATTCTTCCTTACAATTATTATGCCATAATGCTGTAAAGAGCAGCATTATGGCAGTGATGGGGAATCAGCTGTTTTTCTGCCCAATTTATTTTGAATCTGGCGCGAACCGGTGAACCAGTCCCTGAATCAGTCACGTGGTACAGACTGCCCGCGAGGCCTCGAGCGTCACTGCATACGTAATCAAAGCAAGCCTCGATACGCGCTTCACAAAAACGCCCCCGAGATTACCCGACACACGATTCGACGCTTCGACACACAGGACACATCACTATATAATATTTCATATGCAAAAAAATTATTGCGCTAGCTTACGTGGTTGCAGAGCTACTGGGATTTAAAAATAGTTGTGCAAAACAGAGCGTGTCCGCTCCGACCGGCTCTAAAGGGTTAATCTGAACATGATTGTTTCAGATTTGATAATCTGAAATAATCATGTTTATGTTTTCTACCTTTGTTTTTCTTTTTTTAACATGGAAGATGTAAGAGTTTCCTTAAACAAAAGTTGATGCCACAACAGAATTCAAGTTGTGTCTGGACAGAGAAGATCTTCCAGACAGAGGCCTTCTCCAGTAGCAGAGAAAATAAAACCTGCATCTGATACCAGTGTTTGTTTGTTTTTTGTTTTCCTTTATATGATTTGGTGTGTCAAGATGGCTTGCCGTCAGCTGTTACCTGTTTTGTTTGTGGTAGCTTTGTTTACATGTATTTTCTTCAAAAATGTCTCTACTCTTCTGGTGTATGACTTCCATTGTTCCTCTGCTGTGATCCACCTTTCTCCAGGAGGAAATGCCACAGAAGGCAAGGGAAACAGGGCGGCGTGTTGGTAAAATTCAAAAATTGCATGACCGCCCGGGCTCTTTGGGGCTCCAATGAGCTGTCGCATTAACAGCTACCCACCATCATAAATCAAGGGTAAACCTGATTCCTAAACCTAAGAAATGTCAAAGATGACTACTAAAGATGACTAAAGATGTTTGCTCTTATTTTAGCCCATGGAATAAAGATGGTTACTAGTTCTAGATATTTTGGATTATCCAGAACTAATAAATAGGGGTGAGTTTTTGAAAAATGAATTTTCAGGTGGTTCGGTGGTTAGCACTGTTGCCTCACACACTCACAGCAAGAATGTCCTGATTTCCTCCGTCAGGGTCTTTCTGTGTGGAGTTGGGGTCTCTACAGGTACTTCAGCTTCCTCCCAACAGTTGAAAGACATTCAGTTAGTGGGACTAGGTAATTGGAAACTCTGGTGTGAATGGTTGTCTATGTGTTAGCTCTGCGACAGACTGGAACTGTACAGGGTGTACTCTGCCTCTTCCCCTAAGACAGCTGGGATAGGCTCCAGCCCCCCTGTCACCCTGAAGAGGATGGACGGAAATCGATTTTAGCTTGAAAACGAAATTTTTGCCAGAAACTTGAGAATCTCACCTTAAAGCTCACAAAATTATTTCCACACCACCACCACAAACAGCAAATGAAAGGAGGTAACTGGATTCTGCACACATGTAAACACATAGTGCGTATTGGTCACCTAACCTAACGCCATGGACACGCCGTCGGGGCTGAAAGCCGACATCTCACAGATTCTGATGCTGCAGGTTTTGTAACTCTTTGACCAAAAATTGCTGAACCAGCAGCAAAAGAAGATGAAAACTCCACTTCACATTTGATAAACATCAGCATTAATTTGCTCTATTTGCTTACTTATTGCCGCTCAGTTAAAAGTCTGAAATTCAAACAAATGTCAAATGTCTCATTTTTCCACCAAATCATTACATGGAAGTTTTTTAACACTGGAAGGAAAAGTGAAGGAAGTCAGTTTTTAAAGTTTCATGTCACTTGCTCACCATATCTCCTCTTATCACCACTCATTAGAAACATTTATTTATTTGAAGATGCAGTTAGCTGCTGACACGCTGATGATGCTCAGTAAATCTGATCTTTGTATCTTTTTTTTTTCGGGATTTATTTGACAGGGACAGTGTTCATGTTCATGGACATCAGGATAAAAACAGAAGATGGAAACCTGCCAGATTTGAGCTAAACTGCTCATTTCCATTACCACAGAGGATCCACCTGTGCTTCCTCTCCTCGCTCCTCCACCTGTTACAGAGAGGGAACGTCCTCCATGATGGAGGAGCTGCTGAAAAGTTCTGAGTTTCCTCCAGAGTGAGACCTCTGTCACAGTTCAGAGGATCTACGGCAGCAGAGACCTTCATGGACACTAAAAGTCTCAAACACACAACAACAACATCACACTGACTCCACTCTGACATCACTGATCAATAATCAAAGAACACACAGATCAAACTGATTGATCAGCCATCAGAGGAGTCGGATCAATGGAGCTGCTTCTGTTCCTGATGTCCCCTGTTTGATCCTGGACCTGAACTCTCCCTGCAGAGGAGACACAAGACAGTCAGACAGGGAAATACAGACGTGAACATGAAGAGAGAGAGAGACAGACAGATACCTCTGACTTTCAGCAGCAAAGTTTTCACCCTGATCCAGACGTCCTTGCTGTAGATACCACACTCGTATCTCCCACTGTCCCATTCTGTGGGGTGTTTCAGGGTCAGACTGAGGTCTCCAATTTTCAGCAGGTCTTCATTCATCTTTGTTCGGTCTCTGTAAAGCCGGTCCTGTCTGTGAGGCTGGTCAGAGCCGTTCTCATACACGTGGACCTTGTTATTGATTTGGTCCTTCCAAACCACCATAGCATCTTCAGGCAGGTTTTGTGTGGTTTTGAAGGGCAGCTGGACAGACTCCGCCCCCTCCTCCACCTCCACCTGACAGACTGAGAGGACAACGAACACAACATGAGCTGTACAAAGTGTGATTGTGATTCGTTACTGGTCAATATTAGAGCTACTACTTTCTTGTACGGAGGCCATTTTGGGCCTTACGTAACATCTGTTTTTAGTCTTGAATGTAGTTGAAACTTTTGTAATTTCCATTGTGATAAATAACAGTTAGAGAGTCATGCATTAAATGGAGCATCAAAGTAAATTTTTTTACATTGATGTCAGGGCAGTCTGTTCTTAGTGGCATACAAGGAAAAAAGTAAACAATGGTTCAAACCTTTGGGTTTAAGCAGCAATGGTTTTGCTCTGAAAATGTCTCCATTCCTCCAAACTTCACAGATGAAAGCTCCACCGTCACAGTCTGTGGGATGTTTCAGGGTCAGACTGAGGTCTCCAGTTTTCAGCAGGTCTTCATTCATCTTCGTTCTGTCTCTGTAAACCTGGTGCTGCTCTTTAAGCTGGTCAGAGCCATTCTGATACATGTGGACCATTCTGGATTTCCCGTCCTTCCAGACCACTATAGCATCTTCAAGCAGACCTGTGGTATTGAAGGGCAGCTGGAGAGAGTCCACCCCATCCTCCACCTCCACTTGGGGGACTGAGAGGACATCAAACACAAAATTAAAAGTGATAACCAGATAAGCTTTTCACTGTTATCCACTTTCTTGAATACAAATGTGGAATAAACTGCTGAACCACTCCAAAACACTCATTTAGAAACAAAGAGAGAAGACGTCACACATACAAGGATAATTTGGATTCTTTGGACAATCTTTGGACTCAGGCGCAGACTGAGAAAGCACGGTTCAAACATTTCTTTATTAATCACACTGTTGGTGTGCCTGTGGGATCACCAGGTACTTGTAGCTGTCCTCTATGTCTACGCTGTTGCCTTCACCCTGGGTCTATACACCTGAATCAAAGGATTAGTTCATTACCAGGCCTCTGGGGAACTGCAAGACATGTTGAGGAGGTAATTTAGCCATTTGAATCAGCTGTGTTAGATCATGGACACATCTAAAAACTGCAGGACACCGGCCCTCGAGGCCTGAAGTTGACGACCCCTGCTCTCAAGGGAGGCTGGTTGTTCGGCTTAACCACGTGACTTCTGAGTTGGAGAAGGAAGTCCCGATTTGGCGTCTGCAATACTGTCACAGACCTGAGGCAGAGGAGGGTATGGCGGAGACCATAGAGGGCTTATTGAAGGTAAGGGTGTTAGCACCCTCAACCCTAAGCCTGGTTCTGCCAGAGGTTTCTTCTTGTTAAAAGGGAGTTTTTCCTTCCCACTGTCGCCAAAGTGCTTGCTCGTAGAGGGTCATATGATTGTTGGGTTTTTCTTTGTATCTGTAATTGGTAATAGTGATTAATCAGGCTGTGGGAGGTTCTGATGCCGAGGCAGACCACATGATGCCACTTTTGAGAACCAGGAAGGGTCAATCCGCTGATATTATGTTTGATGACTTGCAGTAGTGTTGGTCTACCATGGGGGGAGACCAAAAGAGGGGATGTTGGAATGATCTTACCTGAAGTGCTTTATTACTGTGCCTTTTATTAATCTCATATTATTCCAAACTTCCATATGATCATATAGAAGTAGTGTTGAGTGGACACAACCCTGAATAATAAAGGCATTAGAATACGTGTCCTTCAGTCGTAGAGTCTCACACATATTTGCCTGTAGAGCAGTAGATAAGAGGGAACCATCTAGTAGTCAAAAGTTACTGAAATGCTGTTGTTTAGACTAGAATGGGGTGGCCGGGAATAAAACTGTCAGGTGCGCGTCACCATTTTGAGATCTGCTGCAACGTGTCATGTAGGACGCATCTCCCTTCTAGAAGTAATGTTAAAAAAAATAAAGTGTTAAATGGTCTACTGAGCAGTGTTTTGTGTTCCATCGGATGCCTCTGAGGAATCAAAAGAACTCGGTGAAGTGTTGATATTTGGAGTGCTCAGAGTAGAGATGCTACTCCTCCACATCGAAAGGAGGAAATCACAAAAAAGTTGGTCGTGTTCATCTGGACATAGGGTTTTCAGTGGGAGAAATGTTTTGTCAGTCATCCAAGTGTCTTCTCAGCTGACTGCGAATGAACAATAGGCTGGGGGGCGGTGTCAGTTTTTGACCATTAACTCATTCACTGCCAGCCATTTTCATGGCAGTCAACGTAAGTTTTTCAATTGACGTCTATAGACGTCAATGGCAGTGAATGAGTTAATATGCAAGTTGTCATGACCACTGATCTACGACCATTGATCAATGACTACTCATCATCCATCCATTCGCTTCCACTTATCCTTTTTCAGGGTCGTGGGGGCGCTGGAGCCTATCCCAGCTGTCATAGGGCGAGAGGCGGGGTACACCCTGGACAGGTCGCCAGTCTGTTGCAGGGCCAACACACAGGGACAGACAACCATTCGCACATTCACACCTAATGACAATTTGGATTATCCAATTAACCTATCCCCACAAACTGCATGTCTTTGGACAGTGGGAGGAAGCCGAAGTACCCGGAGGGAACCCACGCAAACACAGGGAGAACATGCAAACTCCACACAGAAAGACCCCGGCCTGATGTTGGAATTCAACTCAGGACCTCCTTGCTGTGCGGCAACAGTGCTAACCACCATGCCACCGTGCTGCCAATAGGCTGGGGGTGGGGGGGTGGGGGGGGGTGTCAGTTTTTGACCATTAATATGCAAATTGTCATGACCACTGATCTACGACCATTGATCAATGACTACTCATCAATGACCATGAATACTATTCACAGAGATTTGAGGATTGGCTGCAATCACAGCATTGAAAGATGTACCATTGGGATGTTACATCTCTCTCCACTTGTGTTCCAATTACTGAAGCGTTGGAGGTAGTTCATAAAAGATTACAGGATGACCCCAATACCATCAACAGAATCACTCTCATTACTGACCAAGTGTGTTTGCTCTTGGAACTGTCTTAATTCCACCTATTTCACATACAAGGGTCAGTACTACTGGCAGAAACATGGGTATACCATGGGTTCTTCATTTTCATCCATTGTGTCCAACTTGTACATGGAAGAAGTGGAAAAGGGGGGTTTATTATGCTGCCCTGGAACAACACCAAGTGATTAGTTGAGGTACGTGAATAACATCTAGGTAAAATCTAAACCTGAGGATGTACCACAATTCACTGATTATATTAACCTGGTGGACCTACACAAATTCACCAGGGAGGATATGAAAAGTAGCAGGTTAGCCTTCTTAGACTGTGAGATGTCCATCAGTAATGGGGGACATTTAAAAGTTGATATGTACCATAAACCACCACATATGGTTCATTGTATAAGGTTTGACTCTCATCACCCAGTGGAGCACAAACTGGATGTCATCAGGATGGCGCCCACACAAACACAAAGCAGGAGATGAAGCATCACTGAATATGTTTCCAAACCAACTTCCTTCCAACCCGAAGACAGAAAAATATGGTGAAGCATGTGATGAATAGCATGCTGACTCAATCATTTCTGCATGTTTCCTCATGTTACAGAGGAGGAGAAGATCCAAAGAGGAGGCAGGGGGAGAGGCTCAGGAACAGTTAGGATCAGAGACTTTGAGCCATCATGGACTCCCACTGTGGGGACTCTTAGTCTTGGTCTGTTCAATTAAACGTACAGTTGCTCCCCCTAAAAGTTTTGGCTTTTAGACAACGGCATCAAAGAATTTATATTATTTGAATGAACTGAAAAAAGATTCAAACTTAAAATGTTTAGAGAATAAACTCTTGCATGACCTCTGACCTTTGACCTGTATCTACAGCACTGACCTCTGACTTTCAGCTCCACTTGTTTCTTCAGCAGGATATTTCCCTCCCTGCTGTAGACGGTGCAGGTGTAGCTGTCTGTATTCCAGCCTGTGGGATATTTCAGGGTCAGACTGAGGTCTCCAGTTTTCAGCAGGTCTTCATTCATCTTCGTTTGGTCTCTATAAACCTGGTGCTGTTCTTCAGGCTGGTCAGAGCCGTTATGATAAACATAGACCATCCTGCTGCCTCTGTCCATCCACTCCACTTTAGCATCATCAGGCAGGTGAAGTGTGGTATTGAAGGGCAGCTGGACAGACTCCACCCCTGAATCCACCACTACCCGGGTGACTGAGAGGACAATAAAGCACAACATGAGCTTTGTGTTGACTCTAACAGGCTGAATGCTGCTGCTTCACTGGGAGCTCACTGTTAGATAGAAAGTGGTCAGTGTGAAGAGGAGACGCAGCAGAAAGATGAAGACTGACAGGAAGAAAGCAGTGAACAGTAGGGATGGGTATCGTTTAGGTTTTATCCGATACCGGTGCCAAACCGGTACTTTTGAAATGGTGCTGGTGCTTAAACGGTGCTCAAACTGGTGCTTAAAGAATGGTGAACACAAAATTGGTCCAAAAACCTCTCATGTTCAGCTGTTTTTTGTAAAAAGATAACAATGTTAGCCTTTTCTGCAGCTATGGGGCATATATGGCATCACTCTTGGCTGGAAGCAGTGCTTAAACAATGCAAAAAACACAAACCAAAAACCTCTCATGTTTAGCTGTTTCCCTCTTTTTCTTTGATCATTTTAGCCTTTTTGGCCAGGGTGAAGGGAGTATCTGCCATCAAACAAGAAGACAGCCGCATGTAACTACGACGGTGTTTGCTAGTTCACCTTACTGCATTAATGTAATAACGTGGTTAGCTTACTCAACGTAAATTACACACGAACAACATTAAGCTAATCACGCAGAGAAGAACGGCTGCTGCTGCCATCATCATCCTCATCATTTCTGCTACACTGGCAGGGCTAGGGGCCAGGACTCTCCTCTTCGGGTTTTTGGGGGATGTTGCTAACTCCAGGTCCGATAACAGGCACCACACCCCAGTAGATGTGCACGGTGTGAGGTCTCGCAACAAGCTATCAAATACGGCGCATTTCTCGGCTTTTAAAAAGAACGCTATGCGTCGCCAGGTGTTTCATCGGATTTGAGGTGTTACCTCCTTTGACAGTATCACAGTATCAGCTTAAAGCACTTGTTGCAGGCTGCTGAGTTTGCATATTTTGCTGTGAAGTACAGCCAGACTTTTGACCGCTTTGCCTTGGGCATTTTAATCTGTAGCTCTGCTCTAAAAGAATGTACCTACCTGGGCCCGCCTACTATCCTCGGAAACGTAAAATGATTGGCTAGAATCTAAAGTGTATCACAGCTCAGGAAAAAAAGCACCGAAATGTGCGCTGCTTTTCGGTCTGGTTACTACTGTTTATGTCAGAACCGGTGCCATCATGGCACCGGATACCGGTACCCATCCCTAGTGAACAGACTGTTGGAGCTGCTGTTAGTGGGACAGGACTTTATTCAGTCTCTGAGGGCCAGATTTGACTTAATGAAGCAGAGAAACAAAGTCTGAGTGTTTCTATCACCAGAGATTGGCAGTAACACGTTACTTGTAACTTTACTTTTTGTAACTTTACATTATTTTTTTCCAAGTAATGAGTAAAGTAAGGGATTACAATTGTAAAAGAGTAATTAGATTATACTTACTTTCCCGTAAGAACGCTGCGTTACTGCATTACTAAACTATGATTTTGTTTGTGAGAGTGTCTCCTGACAATGACGCAAGCGGGTGCGACGGCTGTGGTAGCACGTCTGTAAATCAACAATAAAAAACATGGAGCGAGGGATAGAGTTCAATCGTGCAGCATTTAATACTTGGAAATACCGACATTGCTTTCAATTTGACTCTTTAAAGAGCGACAAAAACATAAGCGTTCATTGCACACTCTGCATCGGAAGAAAACTTCTTTCTACATCGAAAAATTCCACTTCCAACCTGAGCAAGCACCTAGCACACTGCCACAAGAATGTTACATTAACAGAAAACCCCCAGGATCCCCCCACTGACATGACCGCTGTGGCTACCACATCTACTTCCACTGGGCAAACCTCAGATGAACCCACTCCTACTAAACAGGTTAAACTAGACGTAAGAGTGACAGGACTTAGTGTCACTGAACTGAAGAAGCTCATTGCTGCCTATATTGTCGAGGACATGTTGCCAATTTCCACTGTAGACTCTGAATCATTCCGATGCATCGTAGAAAAAATACCAACTAAAAGTGATGTCAAGCTGCCCCAGAGAAAATCATTTGTAAGATACCTTGAGAGAGAATATGACAAAATGAACTCTAACTTGAAGGCTACACTCGAAGAGGTAGAGTTTGTTTCCACCACTGCTGACATCTGGACAGTAAATAATAAACGTTTTATGGGTTCACTGGATTAATTCCACATTACAACACAACAAGGCCGCCAGCATACAACAGAATTAGAGGCAGCCATACCTATGATGTGATTGGAACAGAGATTGAAGAAATCCATTCATCATATGGACTACAACGCAACGTTATTGCCACTGTAACGGATAATGCATCCAATTTTGCCAAAGCATTCAGAGTATGTCAGCCCTGTCATTTGGAGTCTGAATCTGAAAATGAAGAAGGTAATGACGAGGAACTGACCTTTACTGATGTCAAGGAAGCTCTTTCAACCCCATGTGGTGATGCACAGTTTGGCCTCCCTCCACACTACAGATGTGCATCGCACACAATTAACTTGATTTTAACAAGCGATGTTGACAAGCATCTAAATTCCTATGGAGACACCAAGGCTGTATATAGGAGTAGCATTGCAAAATGTTCTGATCTTTGGACTAAAGCAAGTCGATCAACATTAGCCTCTGAACAGGTAGAGGAAGTCAGCCGGAGGAAACTAATGGTACCGACATCCACAAGGTGGAATTCCCTGTATGAGGCCATTTCTAGAATCATCACAATTCCCTTGAATGATTTTAATCCCCTGTGTGTAAAGCTGGGAATCAAGTGACTTAATGAAAGGGAGTACCAGTTCTTGAAAGAGTACTGTACGGTGATGAAGCCCCTGACAGTGGCTCTCGACATCTTACAAGAGGATGAGTGCACCTATGGGGCTTTACTACCAACACTCACAAGCCTGAGGTCAAAGACGCTTGCCCTGACCTCTCTAGAATGACAGCCAACCTTCCAGATGTCATTGTAAAGGTAAGATTATTATTAATTGCTTTGGGTGGTTTTGTTAAATTTGTTATACCATTCAGAGTGGGTGGATGTTATACTTTGTTTTAAGCAGCGTGTAAAATTATTAAAATGATAGAATAAAAGACCAAGTATTTACCCCTTGTTAAATGTAGACTTCTGCAGGCACAAGCATCCTCCACTGCAACCACTGAACATCCAAGGTATGGACATTGAGGCTGTGGACAGCTACAGGTACCTTGGTGTTCATCTGAACAACAAACTGGACTCATAATTCAGATGCCCTCTACAGGAAAGGGCAGAGCAGGCTGTACTCAGGTCGTTTGGAGTAGAGGGCCCACTCCTTCTATGACTCTGTGGTGGCTTCAGCCATCTTCTATGGTGTGGTCTGCTGGGGCGGCAGCATCTCTGCCGGGGACAGGAAGAGACTGAACAGGCTGATCAGAAGGGCCAGCTCTGTTCTAGGATGCCCTCTGGACCCAGTGGAGGTGGTGAGTGACAGGAGAATGGCGGCTAAGCTGTCATCCCTGTTGGACAACATCTCCCACCCCATGCAGGAGACTGTGACAGCACTGAGCAGCTCATTCAGTGGCTGCAGCACCCACGTTGTGGGACAGAGAGATTTTGCAGGTCTTTCCTCCCCTCTGCTGTCAGACTCCACAACAAAGACTTTTGCAGCTGATCAAACCCTCACACGTGCAATAAGACTGCTATATGTGCAATTCTTGTACAATTCTTCTTCTGACGAAGTTGTACTTTTGTATTTTCTTACTCAGTTGTATATAGCATTTGTATTTCTATTTTATTCTATTGTATATATTATTTTATTCTATTCTATTTTATTCTAAGGTATATAGTATTTTATTTTATTTTATTGCATTCCAGTGTTTTCTAATTTCTGCTACATAACTTTGCACTTTTGCTGTAACAAAACAAATTTCCCACCTGTGGGACTAATAAAGGTCATCTTATCTTATCTTATCTTATCTTATCTTATCTTATCTTATCTTATATCAGGGATATTGATCATCATTAATCAAGAATATTAATCAAAATATCAACAAAAGCCTCAACCAAAATTAAATCTCATACAGTATTGATAATAGAAACATGTGCTAACACTTTTAGCAGGCTTAGAATCAGAATCAGAATCAGAATACTTTATTGATCCCTGGGGGAAATTATTTTTTGTTATTTTTTGTTCTTACATGCTAACCCTACTTTTTAACTCACTGAGACCTATCGAAACACTTCAGATTAATCAAAAACAAGTATTTCCCTCACGGAAGTCTTTAAATGTCCTTTACTTGTCATTAAACTTGCTAACCTTAGTGAACAGAGCATTAGATAGTCTGAAGCTCTGTGCGGTTCGCTCGTGAACTGTACATGCTGCTTTCAAGTGCAGAGCAACAAACTACAGTGGAATCCTGACTTGCGAATACCCCATTTAATGAAAAATTCAACTTACGAAGGCACTTGAATGCAATATCTCTGCCTGCGTTACGGCAAAATGCCGGCGTAACGAAATCCGCTGGCTCTGATTGGCTGAGCCCAGAATGCCCAGAATGCCTTCTGAATCATGTGACAACCCCTTAGCTTTTGTACTTGCGCTTCACTGTTCCACTTGAATGACGTATTGTTGTTGCAGTTAGTAATTAGCCTATAGCCTATTGTTCACTCAAAAGGCGTAATGGGTGCTTCGACTTACAAAAGACCCTCGGGAACGAATTAATTTTGTAAGTCAGGGTTCCACTGTATTTGAACTGATCTAACTTTATTAACACAGACAAAGATTTGTGCATCAGCTGCTGTTTGCTGCTATAGATATAATCCAGCTGATGTGGAGAACTACATGTGACACTGTGATGCAGCCATAAATCTGACTGATTTCTTTCCATTTTCAAAGGTTGATGCATCAGGTAAAGTCCTTAAAAAGCTCAGAAATAAAGAGAAAGGTTGGTTACAGCAAAGAGAGGCAC